CACAGATGACGGGGACATGATCTGTATCCGCATTTCCGACCTCGCGCGCGATCAATTGGACGCCTTGGAAGTCGGCGTCAGAAGAGGCCGGAAAACCGGCCTCGATTATGTCGACCCCGAGGCGAGCGAGTTGCCTGGCGATGTCGAGCTTCTCCTTGGTGGTCATGGTGGCGCCGGGGGACTGCTCGCCGTCGCGGAGCGTGGTGTCGAATATGCGAACATACTTAGGGTCGGGAATGTGGTTGGGGATGTACTCCGGCCGGCGGAGGGAGCAGCGGATGGCCGTTGCGTTTGGTTGATAGAAGGAGCGGAGGGGTAATCTGTATGTGACTCTGTTGGATGGGAAGCAAAGGTGAGGAGCAGAGGGCTTACAGAGTGTAGACGCCATTGTTGGAATGGGGTAAGCTTTTAGTCCAAGTCTATAATATCCCCTTTGAAAAACCTAAAGGATACCAAGTATGAACAGACAGCTACCATATAAGAAGATTAATGAAGGTCTAACATTCAATAATAACTAGTGGTACAACACCATGATTTTCATAATTAAGAAATCTTGAACTTATTAAAATTTATATAAGATGAGGGAAGTCTTTTTGTTTTAAATTTTAAATACTTATTTAATTAAATAAATATATTATATTTATATTTAAAAGGGTTAATTGCATAAAAAATTTCAACCACTCGTTTTTCTAGTTTACATACTTTGTTGTTTAATTGCAAATAAAACTCAAACTTTTCAATTTGGCAAAAAAATATCAAACTTTTATTAAGTGTTACAATTTTGTCTCACTCGCCGGACCTCTGCCAGCCGCCGCCGCCGCCAAATTTAAATAATTAAATTTATTTATTTAATTAAATAAATTTATTTGATTGATAAATTATTTTATTTTTTCCAGTTATTCATAAATAGATAATTTCATTATTTAAATAAACATAAATATAATCACTATATTAATATGTGCAGTATGAATGTCGTATCTAAACTCGTCAAAAATGATTAATTTGACAAATCAAATTTCTTCAAGAAACAATTAGTTTGATGAAATATAAATATATATAAAAAAAAAAAAAGCGAGAACAAAATAACATATATAAAGTTTTCAATTTTTAAAATAAATTTATAACTTTAAATTGCGTATTTTATAATTTTAAAAGCTTTGTAGAGTCATGCGGACTACTCTAGATCACAATTGAATTGTGAAATACCAATTTAATTTGATATATATAAATACAAATTAAATATATTAATATATATATAAATTATTCGAATGTCTAAACAAATTGATATGGTATTATACATATAATACTTAAATTTATATTTTATTAAAACATAAGATGGTGGTGTACATTGGTGAAAGAAAAAAGTTTTTGGGTTTTTCTTTTATCATTTTTATGAATATTTTTTTAATTTTTGTATTTTCGCATTTTCTACTATTTTACAGCTTTTGATCATTTTATTTTTCGTCACAAAAATAAATTACTGTCAAAGTTTGTTATTACATAAAATGGTGGTGTATGGTGGTCAGAAGTTCTATGGCTCCACATGTGACACCATATTATAGTGCCACAACATGATGTGACACATTATGATTGGTGCCACAACTATCACACATCATTTTGTGGCACCAATCATAATGTGTCACATCATGTTGTGGCACCATAATATGGTGTCACATATGGTGCCATAGAATTTTTGATATTGTGGTGATAGAAAGTTTGCTTGGAAGTCTTTTACTGTTATTTATGAATTTTTGATATTTTGCATTTTCGCATTTAAGTTGTACACAAAGTTTTGGTCATTCTTTTTTTCATTTCAAAACTAAATTTTTAATATCAAAGTTTGTTGTTGGATACGTAAAATGGTTATGTACTGTGGTGAAAGAAGTTTTAGAGGTTTTTTTACCATTATATATGAATTTTTTAATTTTTATATTTTTTGCGTGTAAAGATGTATACCAGCTTTTGGTATTTTTTTTGTCTCAAAACTTTAACTTTTACCATCAAAGTTTGTTATATACTCACAACCGGGATCAAAATTACAATTTTTTTTCTTTAAAAAAAAAAAAGAGGAAAATCAAAATGCCATTTTGCAACATTTGAACCTATACAACACGGTCATTCTTGTGGGATCAAATTTGTAATTTTCTCTTTTTTCAAACCAACGTCTAACAACCCACGCAACAGTTCCGTTAATTTTCACAGTGCTGTAATTCGGACTTCTCAAATGAAAAAAAAAAAAAA